TCTCTCTCTCCTATCCTCTCTTTCTCTCTCTCTCTCTCTCTCCTTTCCTCTCTTTCTCTCTCTCTCTCTTTCTTTCTTTCTCTCTCTCTATCTATCTCTCTCCATCCCTCTCCCTCCCTCCCTCTCTCTCTTTCTCTCTCTCTCTCTCTCTCTCTCTAACTCTCTCTCTCTCCTTCTCCCCCACTCTCTCTCTCTCTCTCCTTCTTACCGTGTGCGGCGCAGTCTGTGGCCTGTGTGAGTCGATATATCTCTGTGCAGGGCTAAATCGGCCCCCAACCCCGCTGCCCTTTGACCCAGCACCCATAACCCCCAGGGCTGAGTTTGGTCTTGTGGTCAAGTCCGGGGAACCACACGCCTCCAGAGAACTCTCACACGCCGGCTGTGGCCGCCACAACATAAGCGGGTGGTGCAGGTGGTTGTGGTTGTGGCAGCGAGAGTGACGGTCAAAGTACAGGAGACTGGGGTCAGCCTGGAAGCCCACGGACAACCCGATGCGTGGATCGTCCAGCCAGGGACTCAGAGCGCGCTCCTGATCTGGCGTCACAGCGCCGGAGTTGAAAGCAGACGACTTGTTGGTTCTGCTGGAACACGCGCTCTTTGCTCGGACTTCCGGTTGATCATCGAAAATATTTGTGTTACCTTGGTGACCTTGATTTGAGGAGCGACTTTGTACAGGGGAATAACCTTGACCTTGAACGGGGTCTGGAATCGATGGTGAATATCCTTGACCGAGTGCGTGGCACGGGCTTCTCCCTCTGGACCTTTGACTTTGAACAGACACAGGCCGGTTTGAATCTACAATAAAGTTTACATCCCTCTCTTTCTCGTCCGACTCCGATGCTGCCATGTTAATGTCGATCTCGGAGACTGCCGGGCTGGGGTGTGTGTGGTGTGTGGCGTCCACTCGCTTGACCGTCTCCGATGTGTGCGTGTTGGTGACACTGCTCGCTGGCTTCCAAACATTTCTGTTGTGGGGCTGGGTTGACCCCCAGGCACTCCTAGGACGTCCTAGAGGTCGGGAGGAGCTCGGCCTACTCCTGGAGGTCCAACCCGAGGAGGAAAGTGGTCGGCCATTGTTGGCTAGCCCTCGATTAGCGCTCTGGGCTCTGTTCTGCCTGAAGGTGGCGGGTTCAAGACTTCGCGTTGTGGTCTGTTGAGTATAGAACGTCGGGCCGCTCTTCGACTGCGCCTGGGCGCTGTGTGGTCTGTGTTCCATCACAATACATGACCCTGCGCTGCTAGCCACAGCGCCGCCGACATTGAGCTTTTCTTCACAACTTTTGATGCCGTCACCTCCGACATGTTGCCTGTGTCTGGGTGGGGCCGAGCGGGCGCGAGGA